TCGGGTGTGCCGATTCCATTTCCGGTGTCCGTTTGCTCCTCCAAGGTCATCTTTGGGGTCGTCGTCGGCGACCTAAAGAGGCCGCCGATGACACCTTTATCGAAAATTTGTATTCGGCGGTTTTCGTTTCGGGTGTCGCGAGTCTATTGCCGGTGTCCGTTCGCACGTCCGGGGTTTTCGTGGGTCGTCGTCAGTGTGCCTAGCCCTAGCTGCGTAGGGACCCATGCCACGGTAGGCACCAAAACTCATACCGGGGTGCTTTGGGCGTGCCGAGTATATTTGAGGCGTCCCTTTGCACCTCTTATGTTATACTGGGTTCGTCGTCGGGGAACTTGAGGGGCCGCTACGGGCCACCCCGCAGGCACCCTGAACGCATCTCTCTTTCGAGGTTAGAACCATTTACTTTAGTTAACATGGTATCTTTTATTTTCAGAGGTAATTATGCAAACCCTAGAACATGGCTACACATATATAGAAAAAGTATATGATTTAGTTTCTGAAGCGATTACTGATCCAAAAGCTGTTTACGATCCAGCTGCAGAGGATATTGACTTCCAAATAGACCCTGAACATTCTCAAATTTTGAAATCTGATTTACCTATTGAGCAGAAGATGGAGGTGGTCGCCTATTGGAGGAACAAAGATGGTCACAAAAAGAGAAAATTCTCATCCGTTCAATGTAGATATCGTAAAGTTAAGCAAGTACGTTCTTTTTATTTATCATTATTAAAGGTATAAAAAGGTATGAAAGGTATTTTGGGGAACTTTCTTTCCGCAAACTGCGAAGCTGTCGATGAATTTCATCTTAAATTGCAGTTAACTTGCAGTATTTAAGGCTACAACGCACTGTCAAATATGTCTTTGTTAATATATTGAGCAATTCAAAATCGTAATTTTACAGCATTTGCCATAGAAATTTTACTCCTAGAAACCCACAAATAATTAGGATAGTGTGCGCTGGTGACTGCCACTCTCCACAGTGAGACGAAGCGAGAGGTGGATAATTTTGAAGCTCCCGAGTCCACGCGTACCGGGTGATTCAGAGCACGCGCCGCCGTGTTGCGGGTCTGCCTGGGAGGACCCCTCCCCTCCTCACCTCTCACCCGTGCGCCCACCGAGTCGAGGATAGGCAAACCCGCAACACGGCAGAGCGTGCTCTGAATCACCCGGTACGTTCAGAGTGTCCGGAATCTATAGTGCTCGCGCAGATATTCTAGTAGCGCTTATTCGCATGAATGAGCAAAAATGCGGCAACGTATTTGTCTACGCCAATATAGACGTCAAGCTTTTGTTTAGAAAAAGATTTTGTATTGCTTTTATTATTGTTCTATAAGGAATCTCAACTTTATCGGTGGGAAAAGCAGATTGAAGCTGGAGGCACGTACAGGGATAAGCTCCTTCAAATATCCCAATTTACTTATGAACAATACCAAACTTCTAAAAGAGAGCATAAGATAGTTCATGATTTAAATCTAAGACAGTGGGCTCTTCAAAAAGGCAGGGAACTAGGATGTACTAACCATTTTAAGGCTTCAACCTGGTGGCTTACCCAATTTAAACGTACCCACAAAATTGTTGGACGCAAAATCACGAAATTTGTGTCGAAGAAAGACATCAGAGACAAAACAGCAATTGAAGATTCCGCATTGGATTTTGTAATTGATACTATGCCGTTGTTGGATGAGTTTGGATTGGATAATGTCTACAACTCCGATCAAAGCGGCTTTCAATATGAAATTCACTGTGGAAGAACTCTTGCGGATAAGGGCCAAAAAAAGGTAGAGATTATCGCTCAATCCAAAAATGCATTGACTCACAGCTACACAATCATGCCAACTATGTCGGCATCTGGGGTGTTAATAGAGCCTCTCTACATGGTACTGCAGGAAAAAGACGGTACGTTTCCGATTTCCAAATACAATTTTTTAGATGATGATATCTCTTTAACTTAAAGCATGCGCGATCTTCCTAAATATCTCATTTTTCTAGGACGCTTTGGACCTGAAGTCGAAAAAACTATGTACAGGCCGCCTAATGTACTTATAGCAGCGTCAAAGTCAGGAAAAATGGGTGCTTTCCACCTAGATCAATGGATGCAGGTTAGTTCGAAACTTTTGTTAAGCCTTGTCCTGTAAAAACTTTGCCTACTCCCTACCCTCTTCCGTATTTTTTTTTAAAACAGAATATCTGCGTTCCAACTGTTGGACGAAAGGGTGTTCTAGTAGTCGACTCCTGGTCAACTTTCACACACGACAACATCATGAAGTCTGTGCCAGAAGAAACCGAGTTAAAAATTCAACAGATACCGCCAAGCACAACTGGTACATTTATTCAAGTTGTATCGAATTAAGTTTCAGTACATAATTTATTTAATTATATTTTTCCGTTTCATCGTGATAGGTATGATTCAACCATGGGACGTATACGGCTTCAGAATATACAAAAACTTTGTCAAGCAAATAAGCGATTTCATTTTGTTACACGATATTGATATAGTTTTGCACCAGCGAGACGAATGTATAAAGCTACAATCCCTAGTCTATAACCAACTTTGCTCCCCACGCTATACTAGCTTATTCAAATATAGCTGGTTCAAGGTATTACTAGATTGGATAAATGCTTTTGAAACACACAACTTTGTTATAAAGATTGAATTTTGCGGGATTTTGTTTCAGAGTGGTTATGTGACAGAGCGCCCAGAGAGATTTCTCAATCCTGTTGCCTTCTCCTTCCGGGACGATGAGATAGTTTGCGAACTTTGCGACGATGTACGGATGTTGCGCTGTGGTTGGTGTCGGTTAAATCTATGTTTTAATCACTTCTGGAAGTTAAATCACCTCTGCAATAGATTTGTTGCTTAACGATTATTCTATTATTTTTTTTGTTAGAGAGCTGCCTAGCAGAAATGTATTTTGTTTGGTATCGGATGAATCTGTTTTAGTAATTTTTGTAAGTTTTGCTCAACGCTTACTGTAGAATAATATTTTATGAGAGAGCCATATAATAAGAATAATATATTTCTACAACCCAATTTTTTAATAACGTGTTATTATCGATTTGAGACCTTTTCCTCCGATTCTATGTACAAAAAGTAATTTTTTTGGCTTTTTAATGCGTTTTTGAGGCTGTAGCGCCTAAACGGTTAGAGATAGAGCAAAACGGTGAAAATTTTCGCCCATAGGGCGCTACTTTGACGAGTTACCCCTTAGGAAGTCATTTTTGAAAAAGTTAAAAAATGTCGATTTTTCACTCCATGCTTCCCCCTAAACTACCCGTGGATATGAACTTCAGCACGAATTTCGACCGGCAATCGTCTTCTACACTTATAAGAAGCCACTATACCGAGTATGAACAAAATCTGGAATTTACACTTACCTAAGTCTCCTTGTTAGGCAAACCTTCCTTGATGGTCCGCACAGCCCTTTCCGCGAGTCCATTGGACCATGCACAATATACCGCAATGGTTAATTGCTTGATGCCTCTCGCCTCCAGGAACGCCCTCATTTCCTCGGACGTAAAGGCCGTGCCGTTGTCCGAGACAATCAGGTCTGGGTGGCCCAGCCGTGCAAAAACCTCTCGCAGGCAGCGTATCACGCTTGCCGTTGATAGTCCCGCCACCCACCAGGCCTCCATCCAGCCGGTCTCCGCGTCCACCGCTACCAGGAACACCTCCCCGCGCCGCGGCTCTCCGAAATCCAGGTGTATCCTACCCCACCTACGATTTCGTGGCCACGGCTTGATCGGCGGCGCGGGCGCGGCGGCCCGGTTCGCCTGGCAGATCTGGCAGCTGTTCACCACTGCCTCGATCTGCTCATCCAGGTGAGGCCACCACAAGACGCCCCGCGCCAACCTTTTCGACCGCACGATGCCTTGGTGCGTGGAGTGCAGGCGGGCCAGGGCGTCCTGACGGAGGGCAGCGGGCACACACACCCGCTCGCCCCACAGGACGCAGTCTCTCACCAACGAGATCTGGTCCTTCTTCCGCCAGAAGTCCCCGGCCTCGCCTTCGGGCTGCCTCCGCGGCCATCCCTCCCGTGCCCACTCCCGCACCTGCCTGAGCACGGGGTCTCGGTCCGTCTCCTCGGCCAGCATCTCCACTGTGATGATGGGGCCGTCCGGCCGCTGCTTCCCCTCAGTATCAATATAGTTGAGGTACATGATAGTGGGTTGCGGCGGGTCCTCTGTGGGCCCCGGCAGGGGGAGGCGGCTGAGCATGTCCGCGTTCCCGTGTTGTGGTCCCGGGCGGTATTTCACCTCCATCGAATAGGCCGACAACGTCATCAGCCAGCGCAGGATGCGAGGACTTGTTACTGCTGGTGTCCGCCCTCCAAACAGACCCACCAAGGGCTTGTGGTCGGTCCAGACAGTGAAAGTCCTCCCAAACAAGTACTGGTGAAACCGTGTTACCCCAAAAACTACCGCCAGTCCCTCCTTGTCGTACTGCGCGTAGTTTCTCTCGGCGCTGGTCAATGTTCTTGACGCATACGCCACTGGCCTCTCCACGGTTTCCCCCCCTTCCGTGACCACATGCGCCAACACCGCGCCCACCCCATAAGGGCTGGCGTCGACCGCAAGGACCAACGGCAAGTCGAGCGAGTAGTGCACAAGGACCCTGTCGCTACACAGAATATCAATCGCGGTCCGAAACGCCGTCTTCTGCTTCTCCCCCCACGTCCAAGTGGATTCGCGGGGGAGCAGCTCATACAACGGCGCCAGCAGCTCTGCTCTCATCGGAATGAATTTCTCATAAAAATTTATTTTTCCGAGAAAGGATCTCACTTGTTCTCTGTCCTGGGGCTCCGGGGCCAGCTGCAACGCGTCCACTTTTCCAGGAAGTGGAGCGATGCCCTCTGCCGACACCACGTGCCCCAGGTACTGAACCTGAGCTGCCCTAAACAAACTCTTCTCCGGATTGATTCTGAGGCCCGCCTCGCTCAGCCTCCGCAGGACCTCCCGCAGGCGGTGGTCATGCTCGGCCCTCTCTCGTCCCTGCACTAGCACATCGTCGAGGAGCACTACCACCCCATCAATGCCAGCCAACAACCCATCAATCAGTTTCTGGAATCGGGGCGGTGCGACCGAAACACCAAACCACAGACGTTTGACTTTAAACAACCCCAGGTGCGTGTTGATTGTTAACAGCCTGGCCGTTGACTCATCTACCGCCACTTGGTTGTACGCCATGGTGAGGTCTATTTTAGAAAACAATCTTCCCCCGGCCAATCTCGCGAACGCCTGTTCCATAGTGGGCAGGGGGTACCCTTCTGGCTTTAGGACCATGTTGACCGTGCTGCGGTAATCCCCGCAAATGCGCACCCCCCCGTCCGCCTTTCCCACCACTACTATCGGCGTGGCCCAGTCTGATTGGTCTATCTCCTCCAAGACCCCCATCTCGACTAGCCTCCGCAGCTCCGCGGCCACCTTTTCCGCCTTTGCAAACGGCACGGGGCGCGCGCGCAAATACTTCGGCCGCGTCCCTGCCGGGGGGCGTATGCTCATCTTGGGGCCCCGATAACGCCCTAGCCCTGTTCGAAAACACTCGAACTCGTCGGCCTCCGCGGTGTCCTTTGCTAGTGTGGCCTCTCCCTGCGGGCGCTGATCCGCGCCCCCAGTGATGGCCAACACCTGTGGCCTGCAAATCGGCACCGGTCCTGCCACTTTGAACCCGAATCGGTCCATCCACAAACGGCCCATGATGAACGGTCCACTTCCTTCCGCCACGAGCAAGGGCAAACGTACTTCCTTCTGGCCAATCTTAACCTTGACCTCGCAGGAACGTTGCCTCATCACCTTTTCCCCTGACCATACTCTGAGCGTGTCCGGGTCATCTTTCAACCGCGACTCCGCCCAATGCTTCCGGAACTCCTCCAGCGACATCATCCCGCATGGGGCCCCATTATCCAAAGTGGCGTGAAACCCCTTGCTGTCTACCTGGAGCTCCACCAGGTCGGGCCCCGGGTAACTCCTCCCGCCTCGTACCTGACACAATGCGCACTCCCACGATGCCCAGCTGGGCGCCGCGGTCGCGGCGTCCGCCGCCCGCCAAAGTTGTGCGATCCCGGTGCCAGTGGCTGCCCGGGCCCCCTTCGGGGCCTCGGCTGCCCCCCCGGCTCCCCTTGTCTGCGTTTGAAGCATGTTTACCCTCGCCGCTCCTGCAGCTCCGGCTGAGCCCTGCCCCGCGGGCGCCCTCGCGGCGCCACCCTGGCTCGGGCCCTCTGAGCTACTCTTTTTCCACGAGGATCTACATCTCCGCTTCAAATGCCCCTTTTTACCACAGCCTCTACACTCCACATCCTTAGCCCAGCACGAGTCAGGGCTGTGTTTCCCGCCGCAGCGAAAACAGTCTGCTTGGGCACTGCCGTTGTTCTGGACGTACATCACAGATGGTTCACGTGCCTCGGCCGTGCTGCTGCGCTTGTTCAGCGCCTCGCACTCGACCTGGCTACGTGTGTGCGTGTTAATGATGCCTAACGCAATCTTAACATTGAGCTCCGGGGCCTCTAGCAGTTTGCGTTGACACTTTTTGTCCGCCACCCCGCGCACCAACTGTGCCCGCAGGCGGCGGTCCAAATCCGTGAACTTGCATGGAATCGCGAGATGCCGGAGGTCTGCGAGCCAATCGGCCGCAGACTCACCCGGCTTCTGCTTCCTCTGCTCGAACAAATGTTCTGCCATGGCCTCCGAAATGTACTCCTCGCAATGATCGTCCATTAACTCTATCAGCTTCTTGAAACTCACCGTGGCGCTTTCCAGCACCGCCGGATACGTTATATCTACCAACAACCGATAGAAATCGGCGTCCGCACAGGTAAGGAACGCCTCCTTGCGCGCGGCGTCACGCACAAACCCTTGGTGGTTTAGGGCTTGTGTCAGCCGACGCTTGTACTCCGTCCACGTTTCCCTACTGCCATTCACCTTGAATGTCTCAAATTGAAACTTGCGGGCCCTGGCCGGGCCCGCCACCCACTCGTCATCATCATCTATGGGGGATCGCGCCCGCCTCTCCCGGCGGACCTCCTTGGGTTGCTTAGCTAAACGCCGTTTAGCAACCAGCAACGCCGCACGCCTAGTCAGGACCATCCTGCAATTCCGTCAGCCTCGTGTGTCTGGTCCAATTTGACCCCTGACTCCACTGGCCGGGCTTCTGTCACCCACGCCCTATTCTCTCCAGATCCCTATCTGCCCGAACACCCGCACAAGTTCGACACTATTTTCCCAAACACAAGAACATACACTGCACAGGTTTGGACACAGCCTCGTCGCCAGATGTTGTGTCCGGGACTTGGGGGATAATGAGTGACACTTACTTGCCTTTGTACACGAGGAAGAGAGATGTGTGTTGGTGGCTGGTTGAGCACAGAATGACTCTCCTCCGCAGCCGGACCCACCAGTGGCGCTTGGGCAGCACCACCTGGCGGCCGGCTGAGGAAGCTCAAGCGACCAACACTACACCTTACACCCCCCCCCCCTCTACCACAGGTACGCTTAGAGAGTAGTGAACTTGAGTAATTACTATGCAATACAACAGATTTGGAAGTCCACTAGAAAGGCTTGATACTGGGAAGTCT